GATGTTGCCGTCTCTGATAATAATAATAATAATAATAATAATAATAACAATAATAATTCCCAACTAGTGGGTTGCGTGCCGCCATGCATGGTCATAGTATTACAGTCAGGATAAGAGCATGACTGATTGAGGTCGTGATTTTTGGGAAAATCCTGGAAAATGGACGGCGAAGTAAACATGTGGCACGGATAGGGGTCCAAAATTACAAGGACTCGTTATCTCCTATGGAGAGCGTATCGGATGACACAAGATCTGGACTAGAATTTAAAATTGGCGGGCCAAAACAACACGAGTGACGGCATAACAAAAAGCTTCCTATCTGGAACGTGACAAAAACACTTCAAACTGCAGGAGGTGTGGAGCCAAAATAATGGATCTGGAGAGGCAGCAGAACTGCCACGACATTGCCGTTGCGTCTGACCACTAAACATCCGTGACGATAATATCACCATCAAACGTGACCATCCTTTGGTGTATCACTAAGTCCTTAAAAATCATCGACATCATTGATAACAATACACCGGTAATACCTACTGGTACCTAACTGACAAAAGGCCCTTAGGTAAAAAAGAAGATGAATGAGAACTACAAAAAAACTGTGGCCCAGATGTACATAAGTCTGGGGATACCATTGGAATATTGCCAACAATCGTCTAGACAATCGGTTTGACTGTAAGGTCACTCAGACTCCCATTTATGGTCCCTTAGATACTAGTGAGGGTGATTTCTGCAAGCAGTCGACATACAGAACAATGGAATTTGTTCTCTCCTTCCAAATCTTCGAGCATAAAATCCAATGTAACAGTCTAGTGAAACTGACTTTACAAATATGGAGGACGTTGTAAACGAGAGATTCAATTGAGTCTCCCGTGAAAACCAAATTGATTTGCAAATGAGTGTATTTCTCGAAACTGACTTTAATTTCACTTTCTGTCCAATAATTTGATGCCCGCTGTCCCACCAATGTCTACATCTTTAGGTCGAATGCCTTAGCTAATGGGTGGGCTATTCGTCTAACTGAGGATGCCGCGACAGTGGTGAATACTGCCGACTTATTGATTACTGACTTAGAGAAGACTTTCAAGCCTTGGAAATTCAGCTCGATTCAGGGGACATGAAAGGACAAAACGAGTATTCGGCGACACCGCATCGAAGAATTCATTGTCAATATTTTTGCCTCATTTAAGCTCCGGTAAATTTCCGCAATCGTAATTGTAAATTTTCTCCAGAAATTATATTATTTACCTGTCTGGCATCGTCAAATAACTCCCATCAGCTGTTTGATTTAGATCAAGAGAATTATATCCGCCATTCCAAGTTTATCTCATGTATCACCCTACAGACCACAAGTTGGCGATTAGGACAGTCTTGACGATTCAAAAACATCATGGCAACATCGGAGGGGCGAGATGGTCCAAGTGGCTAGAGCGCGAATTTACTGACAGGAAGGTCCTTGGTTCGAATCCCACCTCTGCCTCTCGACTTCCCCTGTCTAGGCTTGGACAACCTGGCAGTATCCCAGCCCTCGTACTTCCTTCGGGTGGCGTGGCAGTTAGGCACCGAAAGGGTGCTACAGCTGAACGATTTATATTTTATTATTATGGCAACATCGAATTTTGGTGTCCATTGCTTGTTTTCTCTCTTATTCATCGATGAGGTCAGTTTTCAGTTCCATAAGGATGCTCACCAATGAAATTTTAACTCCTGTTTGTCTGGGAGATGTGAGAACTAATTTCTCTTGTTGATAATTTGATGAACAGGCACGCCTCCTCTTTCAGAACATGACATAACACGACCACCAAATTATCATTCAGCGGTGTTTATACGTTCGAGTCGTCAGTTGGCGCGGACTAGCATATCGAGATACTCAAATAAACACGAGACTAGGTTACTGGTGGTCTCATTTGATCTGTAGGGGGAATTGGATAGAGAATACGGTGCTTTTAGGCGTCTCTTGTAATCGAACCTTGTCATATTCGCCTAATTTGTGTATGTGAAATTCATGGTTGTACGTGGGCTGGGATACTGCCAGGGCGCCCACACCTAGACAGGAAGACGATTAGGGTCATCAACCAAAGCCTTTGGCTCAAAAGCCTAAGCACAAGACAGCGGTGTTTGGCGGGAAATGCAAATGCATTACCATTTCTATGGAACAATTCGCCACATGTCCCAACCCCCAACCTGGAGGGCCAGGAGACTGTGTTCGTCAGACCTCTGCTAATGGACCAAACTGGTACGACAGACTGTGTGAGTGTTGAGAGACACTCTCCAGTATAGCTCAATGGATCGCNAGTACGCGGTTCTTACAGCTAACAATGATGATGATGATGATGATGATGATGATGATGATGATGATGATGATGATGATGTATTCGCCTAGTGGACGACCATCTGCTTGAACCATCTATGTTTTGCGATCCATTAGGGCGATTGCAAGTTGCCTGATAGCCTAGACCTTTGAAGTTAGTTTCATAGTGATTACCGTGCACGTGTTTTTCTATCTGTATCTGAACAAAACTCAGAGACAACGATCTGAAAGCCATGAGTCCGTCTTCCTTTCTAACAGTCTTCTTTGCTAAATTACAGAAAACCATTACCACGCATGATAATTTCATTGGCTCGATCAATGGGGAACGACTCCTTAAACAAATGCTTCGCTCGTCGTGCTAAGTTCCTTCGGGGCTGCTTGTTGGCCGAGTGGGAGGAGGGTTTGAAAATTTTCAATGTAGAAAATTAGAGAAGCATTTTAAGTATTGTTCTCCTTTATTTGGAATCATTAGTAGTGGGTATCTCAGAAAACTGCGGGAACTTTCGATTCTGTGACATCCCGGCAAGTAGCTAGGACAATTAACCGTTCGGTCATGAGCGCTTGACCGAGTAGGATTAACTTGCACTTAGCCAGACCACATTGCTATCGACTATGAAATCTGGACCACGTGGTCACATATGTTGCCTTCCAAATAGAGCTACGATTTCTCAAAGAGAAGGTTCAAGGATCGTGTACAATGATCCTTTTGAGCCATTTGCCTAATATTGACAGTGTGGAGAAATATAGGAATGCCCAACTAAATGCAAAAATATCCTGGCAGGTTGGTTGCGAGCTTCTCAACCGCTACTCTGCTTACGTGTCCTTTTTGTTGACCCAAAATGGCATTGAAGGGAGGACTAGTGCATTAGTGGGGTCCACGCGTTTATTCCAACACACAGTGCTAGTGGTCGCTCGTCGTCACTGGCAACCGATCTATTTGGGTTCACGACTGCTTCTTTAGTGGGTTACACCTAGTCAAATGTGGGCACAGAAAACGAAGAAGCACAGGGATACGTGGGAGACAACATGTACTGCTCGCGCAGCGTGTCCAGGACAACACGATCACCAAAAGTGACTCAGCAGGTCTGAGCATCCGTCGTAACTGAGGGTTTGTGCGGGTCTATGTTGTGGATCACAGTCAAAGCTTGGCAGGAAAAATTGCCAATGCATGCGGTTTCAAAATCCATAATCAGATTAATCGAGTAGGGACTGACGGGCTTCTGCTATTTGCGATTCTCACACAGACTTGAACGGCGCAGAGGTGACTATCCAATCAAGTAGGGCCCATTACACTTGGTGGCTGAACACGATGTAAACCCCAATATATACAACTCCAGGAACCTCCGCGTCACCAAATTTTCTTAAGCGGAACCTGGAACAGATGGAGGTGCTGGCCAACACAATTACGGTTCTTCCATACTGGATTCTTCTTTTTGACAACTGACTACAGTGGATTTGGGATTGGTACAGAAGACAGAGGGCACAGAAGCTGCTGCTGAACATATTGCGAGGCGAACAAGAAAAAGGTACATCCGATTGTCGAGGTCTGCAGAGAATTTTTTCACTATGGGGTGGCGGAGACGAGAAGAGAGAATGCATGAAAGTATAAGGCGTAAGATGCCCGCAGTAGCATTTGTTGGCTTGAATCGCTTTGCTGTATATAGCTAGTAAATGGTCAGGCTGATAGTATGATTAGATTTACGGAAGGGACGAAATGCCCAGAATACAGGTGATTTCATTAAAATATTGAATATACGGTCCTGCTTTTCACCGAATACACTTAGTTGATAGCAAAATTGTTGACTCGCGCACCTGAGAAATTTCGCAGTTCCGATGCTGCCGACTGGAAGCCCGGTGGGGCCTTTGATAGTGAAATGATGTAGACAAGAGATTCAAGTATACAGCAAAACTCGAGTTGTCACTTCAGACCATAGTCTGATATGAGCACTTAGCGGTCACTTCTTTGCGCCTTCAATCAAGTTCGCTTAATTTGTCTGCTGGATCCGTGCTCACTAGATTAAGCGACTTGTTTGTTCTACAAGTGACAAAACCCTGTCCCGCTCACAACCTAGACCAACAGATCAGTTCCGTCTTGTACGTGTCGGCACGAGCATATGCATTATATACACGTCAAACCTTCCTATAAATGAAAAGGCAAAACACAGTCGCCGCACATGCGCGCGCGCGGAGGGAGCAAGACGCTAACCAAAGTCCACAAGACCACGCACAATTACGGAACACGTGTAGCAGCTCTAATGCAGAGAAAGCACGTTCCCCTATCCAAATTTTCACCCAGAAACTCTCACAAACGATAAGTTCCCCTGTCTACTTTTGCACTGGGTTTATTTTACACAGTGCAACTCAGCAGCTCTTATGCAGATTTTCACCCAGAGACTCTCACAAACGATAAGTTCCCCTTTCCACTATCGCACTGGGTTTATTTTACACAGTGCAACTCGCCACCGTAAACTACTGTGAACCACAGTAAAAGCTGTTATTAGTGCGTATACCTTCTGATTCATTTTTGGCTTCCATCACCTTTGCACTAATAGCCACGTAGAAAAACCGTTAATGCATGCAGTCTGAAAATCTATGTTGCGGACTTTGTATCCACAACACAGGATGAATTTCATAAGTTTAAAAGCCAAAATCTAAATTTGGGCGTGCTCGTGTAAACGGTGAGCTAGAATTTTGGGTGAACTACGTAAAAAGTTCATCACCGTATCGCGCCTTGTGCGCGTAAAATCCAAATAACTTTGACCAGCATCGGATGATCGGGACAATTGTTGTGCACAACAAAGTTACCAAAGTTCCTTGACAACCCCGGATATATAACAGGAGAATGTCACTTTGGGGCAGAAGTTGGGGCGACATGTACAGACTGACCGCTACTCTTCTCGTTCTCCTTCCAATCACCTTAGGATTCTACGTTGCGGAAACACAATACAGAACCTGCGGTAAGTTGAGGTGAGGCACTAGGCTTCTCACGCGTTTTATGGATGGGTCATTGATGACGGTTTGGAGTAAGGCGTTCATGCCGACCGAGATTACTCCTGTGCATTTGGAGTAGAGAATACTTGGATAAAGCATTGCCTCGAATCACGCTGACAAATCTGATTGATTTTGCAGATGATCGACCGCACAAAGTTCAAGTAACAAATGTCAGTATCGAGCCATGCGATACCATGCCGTGTACACTGTACAAAGGGGAGAAGGCGAAGATTGCGATTAACTTTACCGCAAGTGAGTTCAATCACATTGGCATAGGATTGTAATGAGATTGACGTGCACGTGTTCTCACAATCAACACTGACAAACTCTATTCTGATCTCACATTTGATCCATAGCGGAGCCCATCATTCCAGGGAAGGCGTCGGTACACGGCATCATTCTCGGGATTCCAACGCCGTTCCCTCTTGAGTACCCGGACGTGTGCAATTTCACCGAACCTGAGTGCCCACTGAAACCGGGTGTCCAGTACGGATATACATACCAGTTATTCGTGTCGTCTTCCTATCCATCCGTAAGTCGCTATCGATTTGTTGGGATACTAGTCGTATCACAATGTTTTCTTTTCGGTGTCCAACATCGCATTGGTCATCATTCCCGCTGACTTGTGTGTTTCAGATTCATCTGACTGTGAAGTGGGAATTGACGGACATTGCCGGGCATACGTTCTTGTGTGTGGAGATGCCAGTGAAATTACATGCTCGGTGATCAAGGGAGGGGCCATCTCACCTGATGCCTATTAGTGTTTTCTCTAGATTCCTTTCTGTTGTTTTTGTTGTTTTGGTCACCACGTGATCCCAAGGAATTAAAAACGTTCTCTATTCGGTGTTTTCGTTCTCTTTTTTCCACCTCATTTCATTAGTCAATGCGGGATTTCGAATGCCTCGGGCTACACTTTTCTTTGAAGCGTTTGTCAGTTGGCGGCCTAAAACGCTGGCGTCCCTGGCTGGCTACGCCAATTGGGTTCGTTATTGGTAATTTTATGGGCCGGATCTACTTAGGCTGAGAAATACCGGCTTTTGGCGATATTTTTCAGTCGGGGCGATACACATGGCTCGCCAGTGTGCTTGAATGTGGTAACTACTGAATGTCGGTATTAACATATTGTGTTGATACACACCTGTGGGAGTACTTCATCTACATTCAGTTTGTGAGGAAGTCAGTCTGCGGTTGTAACCATTTATTTACGGAAGTTCGAAACACGTGAGCAATATAAACTAATCGGAAATAAACACTCCATAGGTAACCTATTTAGTTGTTATTTACTTTGAGGTTCGTTGAATGCATAACGAGTACTCTGTTTCAGCTATTCTGTTTTGATAGCGTGACCGCAATACGGCCATTTTGAACCATGTTATCACTATGGAGCACCACATGCATACGAAAAAAAAATTAGCCTGAGACCTTTGAACTTTCGTCAGTTTTTCGATTTTGGCTGAGCATGGTAAATCCATGGGACTGTACCACGTCATCTGTGTTATGTGTTCCAGAAAATTCTGTTGATTGTCATCTGAGGGTTGATTGTCATTTGGAGCGAAGTATACTGTGGGGTTATAGTGTGAGCCTCCACGAAAAATGCGACAACTACTATATATCTTTCAATAGAAAACTTCACGTTTTTCGCAAAACCTCAGGTGCTGTCCGCCGATTTCAATGAACGATTGGCGACCATCATTACATGACCAAAGTGCGAACTTTTTGGCCCGACAATGGAAAATTGCTACTTCCTTCCAATGTGTAATCCGAGGAGCTTTGTGATATCATCATCTGTCTGAAATCATAGTTTTGGGAGTAAACAATCTACGGAACTCTTCAAGTCGTCCATAAATTATGGTGGTGCAGTTCACAAAGATCCGTCTCTAGCGGATGTCGTTTACAGGTCTGTATCCTGAAATTCAGTCATAATATCCCTTTGACTATCGCTCTAAGAGAAAGACCGATGACATTGATGGGACGAAGTGGGTATAGTTGAACTCATCCTGATGTTTATTGTCGGGCCCTGGTAATATGGACTGCCTACCTTGCTAGATGCATCAACCTCAAAGGGGCTCAGTGCGGACTGGGGAAATGCCAGTAAATAACACACGGCCGGATATCCCAAAATGACTGGACCACATCTTTGTCAAAAGCCCTTCCCAAAATTTTAAGAGGCCAACCTCAGCGAGGACAAACAAAAACGTTTCACCAGTCCTAGGTAGTCAGATGACTGAATAAACTGTTTGTTGAAAAAGTACATTGAGCGTTGGGGAATGGGAAGATGCTCAAAAAGTTTGGAGCTGATAATAGTGATTCACAAATATTCTTTTGCAATGCTAACCCTGGTGTTTTGCTTAGTGTCACATATGGGTGGAAATTTTTTTGAGTTAGATGGACCTGGCAGTATCATTTGCGCTTGATATTCTTCTAAGAAGCATCACAGTCGACGGATTCATTCAACTGTCTCTCCCATGATTTCAGTGCCCAAGAATGAGGAACAACAGCCTGAAAATGGACATGGAGTCACATGAAATTGAGGGATTCACTTGTGAGATTGCATCATCGATAATACCACATGCGGACTGCGCTGAGCTGTGAGTTTTCGAGCAGCCAAATAACCTGCCACTGGCTAAAAGTTAATCGAATGAGACCGATGGGCACAAGAGTACCATCACAATGTCCAGGTGTGGACAACTAAGACGTGGATAGGCAGTGTCAATGGATGAAGTCCCTGTGACCCGCGCAGATCCATCCGTACATCCAGACGTGGTTGGCCATTGATAGTCGCTTACCAGCTTGATTTGCACAAGGGTAACCAAAGAACGCCACTTCCTACACTACTGTCGTCCAGAATGGTGGATTCAGCCTCCTTCATCGATACATTCGTAGTTGACAGATAATGGTTTCCTAAAACTTGGTCCTTATGATCAGGATGTCGAGGTAAAGAATTTAGTTTCGTTCGTTAGACGTCCTCATTCCAAGATTTGCGTTTCCCGAGGGTACGTAAATCCACATTCAGCCACAGAATACGCAAACAAAAATGTTTGGATGTCAGTGATGATACAAGCCCCAATGCCTTTTTCGTTGTAAAGCACGCTGCACACGTCTGCTGATATGTTCAACCTTTTTTCATCTTCATCTGTTAACTATTCTATTGTCTTGCTTAAGGGTTACACTTCTGTATTTCCAGATCGATCGCATTCAAACCTATCACTTTTCAGCCGAGATTCTATTCACCCTGGAACTTCTCAGCCGAGCGTGTTGAGCGACTTTTCCATCGGCCAACAGCCGTTGCATTTTGAAAACCAGGATATAAGTGCCACACTCGGACCTGCACCGTTGTCGTTGTCCAGAGGACCTTTATTGTCAACTTCAGGAGATACTGCAGCTTGTTGCGTTGCTTAGGTTTTAGTGTGGGAACCGAGGCTAGCTACCCATAGACAGTGAATCCGTAAGAGCACGAACTAGTCAAAATAGCAACAAATCTGTAATTAAAATTCCTAGGTCTTCTACAAACCGTACCTCTGCGGAAGAGCTCTTCAGCGCACAGATGGACAAAGGGGAAGATCCTCGGATAATATGTGCTCATATCTACAGTCATATATAGGTATCTTGTAACTTTCATTCTGCCAGTTTTTGTCACGGAGTGCAAAATTAACTTACAAAAATGGTTCCTCGCACATAAAAGGGCTACTCTCTACCATTACTTAAGTTCACTTTTGTAGCTGAGGCCAACACAGAATGAAGGAATTGAAAAGGAAGAGTAAAAACGACAATCAAAATGTTGCCAGAAGAAATAATGGTGGATCTTGGGCTGTGTGGCCGGTTGTGTTTTGTTATAAAAGGTTATCACACTACAAACTACTCGGAATATCATGTTACAAGTGAACCTTGGCTTCGGTATGCCTTTTGGGTTCCACATACTTGTCGGTGAAGAGTTCATGGAAGAGAAGTGTCAGCTGAATGTCGTGGGGCGTTTGAGCTCTTCTTGTGGAGATGCGGGTGATTCTGTTAGCAAATGTTTGGACGCCAGCTGTTTGTTTGGGAATTTCAAAAAGGATGACTACAAGTCGCAATCGTGTGCAGCAATATGTTCGATTAATCTTCAAAGCTTTAAGGATTTCATCTGTTAGCGAAACGTTTGCGTGCCTGGACGCGCCCAGACTGGAATATACATGTGCAAAGATGTCATCATCGATCACCCCATGCATTTGAGCACTGGCGCTGTATGTCTGACCTGACATTACAGTTGCTTCCCCGATTTTCTTTCTTCTCCTTTCGCGTAGTCTTACAGACTCAATTCAGGCGTAACCAATAGGCGACCTCATGACACAACACTAGCAAATGAGACACCCCTGCTGGCGGTTATCGGGGGGTGAAGTTACTTTGAGTGGTATGACCCGTGTATAGATTGATTCCAGCAATCTGTTGAACCACATCGAGTTACGCGCGAAACCCCAAAAGCCAATTCTTTCAAATGGAGGTTTATCTACAAATGCGGTACTATAAGTACAATTATAAAATTATAAAGCTTTACAAACCTCAAATCGTGGGACTATGCCGGCTTCTATACACCGGTTTAGGAATTGCTAATTCCTAACGGGTCTCAAATTCCACGCCGACTCGGAGCCACGTGTTTACAAGCTAGCGAAACCACGTGTGAACTTAAACGACACGTCCGATGACAAGGTCAAAGAACGGTTTATGTTCAGGTCAAAAACAACAAGGGTGGTATAGGCACAGACCAAAATAACAAAAAAGTGGCAATCGCGTTGTACAATATAAAGGGTAGAAGAATGGAATCAACACCGTAATCGCATGATAACTGGTATACTATCAAGGTGTTGGGATTTGGATAGAAGGATGATTAAGTCTTCAAGAGAAAGAGAGAGAGGGTCTATGGTCAGATGCCGAACTGGGAAGCACTGGCGGCTGGATTAAAAGTAGTAAAGAAAATAGGATTTGCGGCACAGTTTTCTCCCGAACGAAGGAAGGAGCATGGGGTTCAGTTTGTTCAATCCAGTAGATCCTAACTTGGGTGAGGACAATTCACCGCAGTTCGTCCTGAATCCTGAAAATTGTTTCTAGAATCAGGCTTAAGCTGGTTTGTCTAGGGTTTATTTCATGCACCGAGCAGATTACGACTGCTTCTGTGATATACTGACCAAGGTGCATTCCGTGGCACAGTGAAGCACTTCCTAAATTTTTGGTGTCAGGTGTTCAAGCGGCAAAACATCTCGGGCGAGGACAAAACATAGCCACAGAAAACCTGGTAACGTAAACGTTTCAGATTCGCACTCAACAACTATCCCCGGCAGAGGAGAGATGGAGACTGCGTGAACAGATTCATGAAAGGGCCAAAGGAATACGCACAGATTCACAAAAATTAAGCAGGTCTCATTTCGATCTGGCAAGGTTGAGACAAGACAGGTGCTACACTACATTTCGCATTTCCTTTAGACTACTCCCAGAATGTAAAAGTAACAAAAAAAAGAAAATGCTGTCCGTCCCACAAAAATTTGGAAATTACGATGTACAGTAAGGTTGACCTGTTCGAACATTTTTATTATTTGAACAACATATCCCTGAACACTTGGTAAACTCTTACAAAGCCCGATAGTTGTTGGTATTTGAGTTATTAAATCTAAACTTCCAGGGTGTTCGTGAAGAATTTGATGAATTCTTATTCAGTTTTAGCTTCGTGTTTAACAATTGAATCAAGATTGTGAGTTGATGCCAACTAAGTTCTTCAGAAAGAATACAAATCCATTCCATGGGTTCAGTCTGCAACAGAGCAGTTTACTTCGTGTATTACACGCAAGCACATCTGTTCAGGTTTAGGTATGACCAGG